TAACAGATTATCTGTGTACATTTTTTGTTAAATGTACACAGATTCTAATTGATTAAAGCAAAGTTAATTCTTTTTAAATAAGATTGCAGGGAAATACTTGCAATACATAAAAAGAAGTTAATATTGATAATATACAGCAAGCTTCTATAAATCAATGAGAAAAGGACAATTGTAACTAGAAAGAGCATACATAGAAAAACCAAAGCAAAAGAAATAGAGATAATAACAAAAACAAAACAAACAAAACTTCTGTTAAACCATACTAAAAATGTAGAGAATTAGTAATTAAAACATTATTGACATACTTAACAGAATTAGACGGAAGCACAAATAGCTGATACTATTATTGTGGTGAGAGCTTGGGGAACTGTTCTGTTTCTTATACCATGTCAATGTACTGAACAGACTTTTAAAGATTAATTTATGCTTATTTATCAAATTTTAAAATGTTCACCTGCTGTGGCTAAATAATCCTCATAAGAATCCATCCTGCAATAATAGCACAAGTATAAAGCACAAATACCATATTTCCCCATGTATAAGGCACACCCTTTTTCGAAAAATTTGGGGTCTAAAAACTGGGTGTGTCTTATACAGTGGTTGTATGAGCACAAAAACAAGCATGAGAAAAGCAGGAAATGCAAGTAAAACAAAATCTACAACCACTGTATAAGACGCACCCAATTTTTAGACCCGAAACTTTTTTAAAAAGGGTGTGTCTTATACATGGGGTAATATGGTAATAGCACAAGTATAAAGATACAGATACAAAAATCTTCATTCATGGGTTATTTTATAACTGGAAAAATCAAACTTTCACTGGCATGTGCTGTCTATGATGGAACAAGCAACCACAAAATCTCAGTGGCTTACAACAGTAAGTAATGTTTTCTTTCAGTCATGTTCAGTCATGTAGGCTGGTTGCTGTGCATCAACTGCTACAACTCTGCTCAAATGATAGGTCATCTCATATTCCCTGACCCAGAATTAAAGAAACCGTCTAATTATGATCTATTCTCATGGTGGAAGGCTGTCCAAAATTTGAAATATTTCTTCAATGACTATTTGAACTGTTAAAATCTATTAAATAAGTTTGCATATGCGGACCTAGCCCTCATGATACTTGGGTGGGAAAAAGTTTCGGAGGAATATGTGTAGAATTAACTCAGTTTCTTAAAACATGCAAAAACAAACAAACAAACAAAAAACCCACAAGAAGTGTGTAGAAGTGTGTAAAGGCAAATAAACCTACAAAAACAAAATGTCTGCAAACCTAACTTGTGATTATACTTGATTATTCTTTGGTTCAAATGAGTGGAAACAACAAGAAGGACAACAAGAAGGTGATTTTTATCTGTCACTTTATGAGTGCTTTTTATTTTTATATGATAGTAAATCATTTTCAAAAAGGACAACTTACCAGCCTGAAATATATTTATAAAAAGTCTTTATCAGCATGTAGGGAGCAGTTATTTTATAGTCCACTTAAGAGTTGTGCCAAAGAACTTGGCTATTAGTTCCTTTGGTAAGCATTCCTGCACCATGAAAGCCACTTTACTAGGGATTAACAAAATGATAAATGATATCTTGCCCACAAAATAGTATAAATGTGTATTCATTTTAGAAAACACAGCATTCCAGAGAATTACAAAGTAGTTAAGTGCCTCCCAAGCACTATTTCCTATCAGAAAGCTGTTTCTACTAACTTCAAACCAATCATGTGATTGCTCTAGAATGTGTATTGCTGTAAAGTCCTTAAAATATTTATCACTACATTTTTTATCAGATCACTTGCACACAAACACCTTTATAGATGGTGATATTCAAATAATGTGCTGTAAGTACTTTAATCCATTACAAAACCCTGAGCGGAAGAAGTAGGAACACTTCCTGTGGAAAGAAGTGGTACATCAGCTTGACTTTGTGTAAATGAATAAAATGGCTGCAGGCAAATGTAAGAAGGAATAACAGTTTAGACTTGGAGAACATCATAGAAAAAGTAGAAAATTATAAAGGTTATGGTACATTTAAGGAAGAGCAAGTTTCTTTTCGGGCTAACATTGAGTGCATGACTGTAAAAAATGGCAGGAAATTGTACTGGAAAAGCAATCTAGGTTCTCACAGGAATAATTTTATATGCTCTATTAGGCAGTTTATAATTTATCCTATAGGAAATAGAGATGAAGATTTTATGCAATTAAGTAAAATAAATCTGTATTTTGGAAAGAGAAATATAGTAGCACTAAGGAGGATAGAATACAGAGAAAAAATGGAATATTGGAAGACGTTAAGTAGTCCGGGAGAAAGATGATGATGAAACACTGGGTTTCAGGAAGAGAAGAAAAGAAGGAAAGCAGGATGTTTCAGAAGAGGATTGTGTAGGTCTTTAGGAGCACTTATGTATGTATGCTAGGAAGGTGGAGGGATTAGCTAAGAAAGTTTTTTTTTTTTAAAGATTTTATTGGAGAATTGGGGGAGAGGAACAGTGTTGGGGAGTTAGGGAAGGGGAACAGACAAATTACTGTCCTTTTGTTCTTCAGTCTAGTTGTGGAGGACATCGCTTCACTGGCCCATGTTTGTATTATCATTGCTCTCTTCCCGGATGAGGCAGTCACTTGCTGGCCATTGGACGGCTGCTCATGGCAGCTCACGAGAGCTCACACCAGCTCCGGCCAGTCCCACTGCAACCTACACTGTCACCGGCAACTCACAGCAGCCTAGCTCCAGGTCAAGCTTCACCATCTTAGCTGTAGAGGGTGCAGCGTCACTGGCCCTCATGTGGGATTTGAACCAGGGCCCCTCATGTGGGATTAGAACCGGGACCCTGCTACTCAGAGCTGGTGTCCCAAGCCAGCTCCTAACCAATGCGCCACTCAGCTGGCCCAAGAAAGTTTTAATTAAAAGCATCTTTAAAACATTTCATGGAATGTCCAGCAAACACAGAGGAAATTACTCTAGAAATCAAGAGAGATGGCAAAGTTGTTGGTGTAGAGTTGAGAGCCATCAACGCAGAAATGACCATTGTAGTCATGGAAGAGAATTAGATTATTCAGAGAGATCATTGAACAAAGAGAAAATAGGCTATTAAATCAGTTTATAATTATGCAACTTGAGGGTCAGATGGAAAAATAGAACCAGAACAGGGTATAGAGCATATTTTAAACAAATAGGCCAAGAATCAAAAGAGTTCAGGACTGTGTAAAGGAAGGCAGAGAATTTCAAAGCTTATTGATACTTTCCATTACTGCTGAGAGATCAAATATGTGGGGGAAATGAAGAGATCCTATTAGATTTGGCAATTAGGCAGTCATCGTTGGCATTGAGAAAGCAATTACAACACTGAAACAACAGAATTCTGACTGACATACTTTCAGAGGTGAATGGGGGAGAAGAAAATGGAGTAGGAAGCATAGGAGACTTACAAGAAGTTGTAATGTAGTGATCTCACTTATATGTGAAATCTAAAAACTCAAAACTCATTGAAACAGAACAGAAGTTGTCAGAAGCGGGGCTGGGGGTGATAGGAGAAATGGGGAGATGCTGGTTAAAGGGGACAAGTTTCCAGCTATAAGATGAGTAATTTCTGGTGATCTAATATATAGTGTAGTAACTACAGTTGATGATACTGTATTAACATTAATAGGAAAGTAGATCTTAAATATTGTACACACACACGCACACACACGCACACACACACGCACACACACACACACACAGGTAATTATGTGAGGTGATGAAGGTATTGACTGACTTTATTAATTATTTTTCAGTATAATTGTATCAAATCATCATGTTGTACACTTTAAACTTATACAATGTTATATAGTAATTATGTATCAATAAAGCTGGAGGGGCGGGGCTTCCAAGTGGCTCAGTTGGTTAAGAGCTCACTCAGGAGTGGGAGCTCTGAGCAACAGCAGATCTTTGTCCTGCCCGAGCTGAGCTGCTGCTGAGCTGCCAACAGGTGGCAGGATGGCTCAGCTAAAAAAAAAAAAAAAAAAAATTAAATAAATAAATAAAGCTGGGGAGGGAAAGCCAATTTTGAAAGATTTAGAAATTTTGTGAGGCCTTGCTAAGCCTTTGGAAGCTTAAAGTCAGACAAGGTGGGATTATTTATACCATGGAATTTTAAAAAAATAATAAATAGAGAAGAAAACGAAGTAATAAGCATAGAAGACTAATAAGAAGTTAAGCATTAAATAGAAAAAAAAAAGAGATTGGTGATTATTGTAATGTTAAAGGAAGAAAAATACCATTTACTATTTTCTCTTATTACACAATAATATAGTTTTGTTTAAAATGTAAAAATCAGAAACAAACAAGAGAAAATTAAAAATAACTATTAAATCACCACAATATAAAAACTTCAAGTTACAGAAAAAGAAGTTAAGACACAGATGCAGTATGAACACAAGCTCTTTTGTTGAGTAGAAGGAAGAAGGGTTAGAAAACTGAGGAAATATAACATTTAACTTTTGTGGGAATTTATTTAAATTATTTCAGTATAACTCAGTGTAGTCCAATTGGTCTAATTCACAGTCTTGAGAACAGAAAGAGTGGTTTTAATATTGATGTCTCAATTTATGCTATAATATGCCCTAGGGTACTTAATAAATATAAATGAAAACACTACCATTTAAATTGCTTAATCAATTCAAGGCTTTGCTTCTTTCTCTTTGTAGATTTTTGTTAACCCAATATTGGGTAAATATATCTCTCTCTTATTAAACTCACCTATTTACAGTCAGAGGACATTTTATCATGCCTCTCACTTTTATTCATCACTAGTTTTCAATTATTGTTGAAAACATTGAGCTTGTGAACTTCAGTGTGTAAAAACCACTCTCATTTTGATAAGTCACATTATAAAGCCCTAATGTATCTTTTAATGTGGTTGTAGTTGTGCAATTTTGGATTTAAAGTCTATTTGCAAGATATTTTATTGCAGTGATTTTGCACATGGTATATGCTCATCTTTTAAAATGCAATTTCTCTTTTAGTGAAGACATGTGGCTCTAATCTTCAAGGACCAAGTGGAACCTTTACGTCTCCCAACTTTCCATTCCAGTATGACAGCAATGCACAGTGCGTTTGGGTCATCACAGCAGTGAATACAAATAAGGTAAGAAAACCCTGTGTGGTAGAAAAGCAAAATCACAGGGGGGAAGGCAAAGAGATCGTGAGGAAAGTGCAGTAAAGAAATTCATACCTAAGTATGATTTCTGCAATATTTTCACCTTATCCATTATATAAAATGTAAACTTATAATAGAAACTTGGAAAAATAAACTTAAAATAATACGATCATTCTCCCAGTTACTAACATATAAATGACAACATGTTAAAATTATATATGAATATTTTCTGAGATATGTTTTTAAAGGTTGTAAGTATATATTTCCTTTTTGAAAAAGAAACCATGAACAATGGCTTTTCACTTTGTATCTTTTTTGCTTGACATATTATTCAGGTATATCATGTTTTTATACAGAGCTGATTTTTCAGTGTTTCTCTGCTACCATATGTCACACAGCTATTTTTTATTATAAGTAGTTGATTTTAAAGTGCTCTGCAGTAATAGAAGATTCATTTTATAATATTGAAAAAGGTCCTTTTGTCTTTCTATTTAACTAAAAATGAGTAAGACATCTAAACATGTAAGTACCAGAAAATTTCAAAAAAAATTATAATGCCAAGTGAGCGTAAGAACAGCTAAATAAATTAGCTGGTTTTCCTCTCCTACTCTCTCTATCCTGCTTCTCTTTGTTATAATACAGAGAAGACTTAAATAGTAAGAATCAAAATCCCTCTCAGGTTGTATGATATCTTTGCTGTGTCACTTTATGGAAATTTGGTCGTGGAGCCCTTAAAGCTGTGTCAGATTGTATTCAAATAATGATTTAGAATTTACTAACTGATAACTTTGAACAAGTCATTTAATCACTCTGAAATTCAGTTTCTTTATAAAGTGTGAATAATAAGAGCATGTGTTTCATGGTGTTGTGAGAAACAAATGAAGTAATGCATACAGCACTTATAGAGTTAATAAGCACTTAAAACACATTAACTCATTGTTATTCATTACGTATACAAGCTCTGACAATTAAGTTCCTTAACTCATACTGGAAAAAGTGCTCATTACTGAATATCACTACCCTCCGTCACCTTTTAAGTACTCCCCTTGGGAAGCTATTCACTGATACCAGGGCCTTCCTTGTTCACCCTTCAGAGAAATTTTGGAACTCTTTTTCTGGAATGACCATCAGAGCTGTCATTGTATTACCCCTGATGGCTTGAATGTCAGCAAAATGTCTTCCTTTCAATATTTACTTTGTCTTCAGGTAAAGAAAGAAACCATTGGGGCCCAGATCAGGTGAATAGGGAGGGTGTTCCAATACAGTTATATGTTTACTGGCTAAAAACTCCCTCACAGACAGTGCCATGCGAGCTGATGCATTGTCATGATGCAAGAGCCATGATTTGTTGGTGAAAAGTTCAGGTTATTTTCGTCTAACTTTCTCACGCAGCCTTTTCAGCACTTCCAAATAGTAAACTTGATTAACTGTTTGTTCAGTTGGTACAAATTCATAATGAATAATTCTTCTGATATCAAAAAAGGTCAGCAACATCGTTGCAACCACTTCACGGACTTAATTGTCAGAGCTCATACACTCCCTCCCGGAGTGTTTTAGGTTTTAGTTCATAAAACCTAATTCTAAGAGCAGCAGTGTTTTAAAAGTCAGCTGTCAGGGGTCAATTACACTTGCCTCAGAGGAGAGCCCTGATTTATGAACGGGAAGAAAGAGAACGGAAACCTGCTCTGCTCCAGTCTATCTGTATAAACTTGGGAAAATCACCTAATTTAACCCCTCAGTTGCATAAAAAAAATCATGATAACCACCCAACCTGTGCCATCTGTTCAATTCAACAAATATTTATTTATCAAATACCTTCTCTGTGCAAATTATGGGCTGTTGAGACAATAAAAAACAAAATCATGAAGGAGTTGAAAAATAAACTCAGGTTATTGAACACTTAGCCACATGCCAGGTAAAATTCACAGCACTTTTTACGAGTTGCTTAATCCTCATAAAGACCCCCTCTATGAGGTACTTTTATTTCTGCATTTAATGGAGGCTAAATAACTTGGCTAGGATCACATAACTGGTAAAGGTCAGAGCTGTGTACTTTATATTTGCCAAGGATATATCACACACTAAGGTATGTGTTTTATACTAAGATAAGCATGAAGTAAATTTATTATAAAATACTGAACACATACATTGTATTAATCTTGCACTGAGGTAGAAATCTTCTTGTGTCATGGTAATCACCTATAATTGTCATCAAAATTTAGTAATCGTGTCCTGTTCTAAAGATGTCTGCTTTGCTTAATTTAATTCATTCTCATTGCTGAGTTACCTAAAGTTTCACAAAGGTCTTTATATTTCTTCTTGTTTACCTTACCTTATCTGCTACATTTTTATCTCTTGTTTTTCTCCCTAAAAAAATCCAATTTATTTTCTAAGGAAGACACAATTACTTTCACTTCTTTGCTATTTTGATCAAATAGCTGGCTGGGGACATTAATTTTTGATCTGTAGGTTTATCTCTGTTTGAAGATAATCTATAGAAATTGGTTTTCAAGAATTTTTAACCATGACCCACAGTTAGAATTATACTTTGCATTGTGGCCTGGTTCATTCTTTCTTTCTCTCTCTCTCTCTCTCTCTCTCTCTCTCTCTCTCTCTCTCTCTGCCACAAAATAATATTTTCCCTTACTACAAAAATGTACTTCTCTATTTTTTTATTCTAATCGATTATAATCTGTTTGTTTTATAAATATTGGTCATGCCTCACTAAATTGATTTCATGACACACTCACAGGTTATAGCACATAATGAAAAGTATTGTCTAAAGATCTAGTTTCCATAGATTACTATGTTAGAAACTTTTTTTTATTAAATTTATTACGGTGACATTGGTTAATAAAATTATATAGGGTTTCAAATATACAATTATATAATACATCATCCATATTATTGTGTTAGGTATAAAACCTAATTAACCAAGATTCTTACTATCTCAATATTTATAATTTTCTTCAAAAATTATTGCTCATATTTTTCTTTATGTTCGATAACTTTAGTAGTAATCATGGTGTTCTAAGTATCCAAAATAAATATATGGTTGGTGGAAAAAACTCTGAAAAACAACTAGATAAAGCAGGATAGAACTGGATAAAATCTGAGCTGCCCCTCTTACTAGTTATATCATTATAAGCATGCATGATCCTTGAGTCCTCTGAACTGCAGTTGTTTTATTTTCAGTCTTTTAGAGATAATAATACCATATCATAAAGTTGGTCTACTGATTAGTTAAGAAAATGTGAAATGTCTGATTCAAAGTAGGATCACTGTAAAAGACATGTTATTATTGCCAAATGTTGCCTCCCATCAAGAAATATTTTTCTCTTCTGTTGTTAGATTTAACTTACGTATTAATGCAAAAAAAAGAAAAAAAAAAAACACTACATACTGTTTCATTATGTGGTTGAATAATTTAAAGGTAACTGTCTTACATTAAAATATTAAACATTAATTACAGTCATTTTTACTGATCAGTCTATAAACATTGCCATTAAGCTTGCTAAAAATAAAATAAAATGACTGAGCATTACAATATTAAAGTAGTATATATTTTTAAGGTTACTTTATACCACTTCCAAAACCTTCTGTAAGGGAATACTTCCTTTAATTGTAACATTTCAGTGATGAATACAGTTGAGGACATAATCATAAAGGCAAGTTAAAATATTAGAAATGATATTTTAAATAACCTGGTCAGTGAATTAATTTTTCTTCTTGCATTACATATGCATTTAACATTAGTTCCATGTGTGAAATAAATAATTTTCTCTCTTGAATTTTTCTTAAGTTTTATGAGGATAATCTTCCTCAATATAGGCAGTCTAGTGCATTTTAATCTAGCCTTTAATCTGAAGCGTGTACTACTGGGGTGCAAAATCAATCCCCGAGGTGTCCTTGGGGGGGCTGGACACTATTTTAAGATATTCCACTTTCTAACACTGTCCTACCTGATGACAAACCTCTATCTGTTTGTTCTCCTTTTTCACAGTGTTTTAAGGAAGTCATATATTACTTTTTCAACTGAAAATATTAACATTGACATTACTTGAGTATAAATAAAACTCTGGAGATCCAGAGTGAGAAATTGCAGATGTATAGCTCCTGAGCAAGACCCTTTAGAACAGCAGTTCTCAACCTTCCTAATGCTGGCCACAACCCCTTAATACAGTTCCTCATGTTGTGGTGACCCCCAACTATAAAATTATTTTCGTTGCTATTCTATAACTGTAATTTTGCTACTGTTATGAATCGTAATGTAAATATCTTTTTGTTTTCCGATGGTCTTAGGTGACCCCTGGGAAAGGGTCATTCAATCCCCAAAGGGGTCACGACCCACAGGTTGAGAACCACTGCTTTAGAACAAAGCAAAAGACAGATTCACTAAGCATGTTTGGAGAAGAAATTAACTTATTTTCTTCAAACAAACATAGAAAGGACCATCTCTTTATGGATTTATGTATGTATGCATATTTATATGTATGTATGATGTATCTATCTACCTACCTTCTTTCCATCCATCCATCCATCCATCCATCCATCCACCCACCTATTTTTTATCTATCAGTGGCTTTATCTATCCTAGAACTAGAATTTCCTCTATATAGAACTATAGTATAGACCAATTTGAATTGAAACACAAAGCTTAACTTTTTGAACAGAAAATATTCCTGATGTGTCTGATTGATTTTACAGGTATTTCCATTTATAATATACAGTGAACACTTGCTAGAAATTAAATGAACTAATGATATAAGATTTTAAGGAAACTATATTTATGGTGTTTGTAAAATTACAGTGTAACAGAAATTGTGTCCTTTGCATATATTCATACTTAGAATTTTTTTAAAGACGCCTATTTAAAATTGTAGGAGAAAGTGGTTTTCAAAATTCTTTGATCTTTATATGCACAGTTTTTGAAGGCTGTCTAGACCAGCACTGTCCAACAGAAATGTTATGTGAGACACATATATAAT